CGGTGCCCCCTCCCCCCCCCCCCCCCCCGAGTTCCAATTATCTCTGCTTCAGAGGGGCTGCGTTCCAGAGCCGCAGGCCTGGGATGAAACTGTGAGCACTAAACCAAGGCCTCTGAAAAGTGCTAATAGAAGCCACGGGCAGCTGGCACAGCACTGGGCCACCAAACAGGGATCAGCCACCAAACCAGCCTGAGTGAAGGAAAAAATTCATTGGAAACCACGAACTTCTATTAATAGGAGCTCACGTTGTATTTCCCAGGAGGAGGAAGTTGGAGAGCTGAAATCAGCGACCTGGGCAGGAAATGCTGCAGCACTGACACAGTGTCAAGGTGGGGTCTGGGGTCACACCTGTGCCAGTGCCCTGGGGACAGCTGGCTGCGCTGGCCCCACGATTCCGTGTGCAAGCTGTGACAGATAAACACAGAGACGTTACCGGCACAGCCGTGGATACTGACCGTGACCCCCACCGCTGCTCGTGTGACAGCGATCTGTCCCCTCACCCTGTACCCGTGCAGGAGCATCGCTGCTTCACTCGCTGCTCTCGGGGTTTGTCGCCAAGCACCGGGCACCGGGCGGCTCCGGCACCTCCTGCTGCACGAGCACCTTTGGTCCTCCCGGTTCTGCCGCGTTTGAGTGCGCCGGGCACGCGAATCAACCGGCAACGACGTGGAACGGGAACCCTTTTGTTCCGGAGCTGCCCGGTACCGGCAGGGGGAGCTCGGCTCCGGTACCGGCAGGGAGAGCTCGGCTCCGGTAGCGGCAGGGGGAGCTCGGCTCCGGTACCGGCAGGGAGCGCTCGGCTCCGGTAGCGGCAGGGAGAGCTCGGCTCCGGTACCGGCAGGGGGAGCTCGGCTCCGGTACCGGCAGGGGGAGCTCGGCTCCGGTACCGGCAGGGGGCGCTCGGCCCCCGGTGCTCGGCCCGGCCGCGCCGGTCCCGGGCCCCGCCGGGAGCCGCAGCACCGCAGGCAGAGCCGCACCGGTGCGGAGGGGCCGAGAGAAGCGAGACCCCGGGCCGGGCTCGGTCAGTGCTGCTCCACCGGTACCAAACAGCCAAAGCCAACAACTGGGGCTGGCGAGGGGAGAGCGCAAATCCTGTTTCATTTAATTGTTAAGGCGTTTATTGCGGTTTTTTACATTTCTGAGCAGCTTTTTAAAGTTTAACTAAAATCATTGTGTGATGTAAGACGTTTCGTCAACCATCTGCTAAACTGACCCCAACCAATCCAACCCAACCCAACCCCACACACCACTGCCGGGAACAAAATCCAGCAGCCAGTTTCACCCCAGTTTTGGGGCCTGGCACCTGCCCCTCCCTGAGCTGAGCCAGACCCCCTCCCCTGTTGTCCCACCTGCCCACAGGCCAGAGCTGACGTGTTCCCCCAGCACACAATGGCTGGAGTGTGGCATCAATTTGTTATTAAATAGTATTTGTGGTGAAGCTGTGACTTGTAATTAGATGTAATTGTTCACAATAGGACATGGTAACCTACTTCTTTTGCAATACAGACCATCTTTAGTGACTGACACCTCAGCTCCTTCCTACCCCTGTCTAAAGCCCCTGAAATTGAGGTGACTCAGCCTCAGCCTGGGGGTGCAGGACTCAGCCTCACCAGCATCAGGCAAACGCTCACGTTCACTTCTGCACCCCAGGTGTTTACAGAGGTTTGCTGGGATGTGATGGGAAATGGCTCCTGGAGGCAGGAAAACACATTGTTGGTAACAAAGTACCTTGCAGGGGAGGGGAAGCTCCCTGGCTGTGGGAAGCCTTGTTCCAGTCCCTCCTGGATCTCTGGCACGGGGAGCACAAAGAGCCCCAAGTTCTTATCCCTCACAGAACCTCCCCCTGAGAAGCACCCCAGGATTTTGCCAAAGGCAAATGCATTGCTTTATGCTCCCTGGTGATGCCATCTGTGAGATTCCCACCTTTGGAGCCTTGGATCCTGCTCAGTTTTCTACTCTGGCCTTGTTTTGACGTGCCACTGTCTCCCTTACCTGCTCCAAGGTCAGGCAGGCAGCCTCCCACAGCACACAGCGCTGCCCAAGGACAGGATCTTATCCAGGGCGCAGCCTAGGAGAGAGGGGAGATGTGTTCCTTAGGAAAGGGAACTCAAAGCAACCCACCAGTCCCTGGGGTGGAAGCCATGAACAAAGCTCTCTGCCCTGAGAGCTGAGAGCCCTTGGCTTTGTTGGGCTCTGAGTGGCCACCTGGAGCAGCCAGGACCAGCAGGATCTGGAGACTGGCTCTCCATTGCTGTCCCCCACTCCTTGAGAGCAGAGCTGAGAGCCTTAGGGATGAAAACCCCACAGTTGGACGATCCTTTGGACAAGAAATACACACTTGGCCTTGGATCTGGGAGAACTGCAGCCGTAACACCCTGCCCAGAGTGTGAGGAGAAACCAGACAACTCCACTCAAAAGATCCAGAGAAACCAGAGCCAATGGGTGGTTTGGATCTAGAGCTCTCAGCAGAAAGTGTCCCTCAGGGAAGGATTCTGAGAACTGACTCCCAACTGCTGCAGTAGGAACTTGTCATCCTGCAGTATGGAACAAAGTACTTTCTCAATAAATAAAGTATTGTCATGTATTTTTTGAGCCCTGACCTTCAAGTAAGAAAATGCAGCTGAACTGCCCCTCTGGAGGGAATTTGGGAGAGTGAGTGAGCTCATGGAAATGCTCCTCTGGCTGAAGGTGCAGGCAGTACCTGCACAGGAAGGAGCCAGGAGTGATGCTGGTTTGTGATCTCCAGCTTCCAGACCTGCTGCTAGGCAGCAGGACTATTTTGGGCTGTGGTGGTGCTGGTTTTACCCAAAACCAGGAGTTCAGTGCTGTGGTGCAGAGCAGGGAGCTGCACACATAACTGCTGGTTCTGCACACAAGGAGCCCTGTGTCTGTGTTTTGGGGATGCTGGGGCCCCATGAGATTCCCCTTGCACAGGTTCCTGTCATTGCCTGCCACACTCACTGCCCTGGTATCAGACAGCTCACCAATTAAATATTAAAACTTCTGAAGGATATTGAGTTTCTTTTGTTCCTTTGGCATTGCCAGTGTTCTCAGTTCTCCCTGACTTCACATGCTGCATGTTCCTGCCTTCATGTTCTTTTAATGCTTAATTTCATACTCCAGAGGGCTTCCTTCACCTCCTGTCTGTCACAGGGAGCATCTGCAATACAATCCAGACCAGGAGATGGTATTTAGGGAGCAGGTTCCTTATCCAGACCCCAGACTATAATCAAACCTCCAGCTCCATGGTTCTGCACATACAGGCCATTGTGTATCTTCCACCCAATTTAATTCAGACTGTTTTGGCTTTGAGTCTGCAATCAGAATGTGAGATTTCTGAACACTTTCACCATCTGAAGCATGAGCAAACCTTCACATCATGGAAGCAAAAGCCCCTTAACCACAGATCAAGGCTTCCCTAAGCTGTTCCACTGCACAACATCCTTCAGGAACATACGGGCCAGCAACCACGAGATGCCCACAGCATAACTACAGCACTGACAAACCAATTGAGCCTCAGCAGCTGCCTCTGGGAAGGTTTCATTCATCCCCAGCACTGCCTTTTAAACTTAAGTGCCACTGGAACAAACACATCTTTGATCCAAGTAGGAAATAATTTGGAGCTTTGTGTTTAATAGAGCTGCAGCTCTGGGGAAATGATGTCGTTCTTGGCCAGGATGACAATGGGGCTCACGGCGGGCACAGAGCATGGCTGTCCCCATCCTCACTGAGCTGGCTGTGTTTGGACATCTTTGTTCTTGACTCAGTGTGGAAACAAGTTGAGGCTCCTGAGCTGCCATGTGTGGCACCCAAATAAAGGATTTGGGAAGGGGGAGAGCAGGATTTGGGCAATTTCTCCTGTCCTCCTGCTCCTTCTGCCTTTGGAGTCTCTTGTGTCTCCCTCAGCTCCAGGGGAACCACAGGACGGATTAGGAGCTGCAGACACAAACATGGAAGAGCACATGGGCAGTACTGGGCTGTACACACCTGTGTGATCTGTGTGCCCTGGGGACGCACACACATCTCCCTTTATACTGTAGACACCTCTTCAAATGTTGCTGCAATTTCTATCTGTAAAATCCTGTGTTCAGAGCAGGGAGCAAGCAGCAGGCAGGCTCCACACCCGAGGGAGCATCCCTAAATGCTCTGCAGGTGCACGTCTCTCTGTCAGGACCCTTTTTCATTTAAATGACTCGTGCTCAGACTGTGACATTCTCCTGTCTGGAATCATCTGGCATCTGTGCCATATCCATTCGAATGGCAGATGCAACAGGAGACACCTGTGGACAGAGGGGCAGAGCTAAGGTTTCAGGAACAATCACAGAGCCTGGCAGGTGAGCGATGGAGACCTGCAGCAATAATGCATGAGCTGCACCTGCCTCCCCTCGGCCCTGCGGCACTGCTGCTCTGGGAGCTGCTGTTCCAGTTCCCTCTGAGCTCCACTACAGTGCCACCCTCACTGCTGGGAGAACCAGTACAGCACCACGCTTCAGTAATGGACTGGGAACGCCAGGTTATGGTGTGCTGGGAGATAAGCAGATCCGGGGGGCTGAGTACTCTCCAAATCCTGCACAGCCCCACAGGTTCCAGCTCTGAAAATCGTTGCTAAGCCAGCAAGCCCCCTGGAGAGGCTGATCAGGAAAGTGGCATTATCCTCAAGAGGGTCACAAAATGAAATCATTGTAAGGAAGTGAAGGAGCTTCCCAGGCCATTGCACAGGGAAGCAACAGAATGGTACTTGGGTCTCCCTGCAAACAAGCCCCTGACTAAAGCAAGAAGGAAATGCAGAGCTGGAGCTATGGACAGACAAGAAATGGTGTTTACTTCCCTGCCCTGGGATAGCTGGAGATGTGCTTGGAAGGAGGGTTGTTTGTATAAATAAATGTTCATTCTTGGCAGTGGAATGCAAACTATGCTGAGGGGCTGGAACCAGGCACTCGGAAAAGCTGAGGCCAGAGCAAGGGAGAGACGGAGTCAGGCTGCAGGGAGGAAATTCACATTCATTTTTAGCAACTTGGAGAGGTTCTCAAGCCTGTTTGACATTTTTAATTATGCTGATGCAGAGCCTATTTCAAGGACAAAAATAGTCAGGATTGCACGTTAAACAATTAGGAAATTTCACACCAGCCAGTGAGGAGCAGTGCTGCCTGGGGGTCTGGACTCTGAAACACGGGATCATCTTTCAGCCTTTCTAGACAGACGGAATTTGAATGTCTTGCAGAATCCTCGCCCAGGTCAGGAACTCAGAGCATGGCCCTGTAAACCTCTCCTGATTATATTTTCTGAAAGCGCATAGAAGGCAGGAAAGATGAGCCTGAGCTGCTGCTCT